CTTCCGCGGGTCTTCCTTGCGGCCCTCGAGAGTTCCACCCTCGGAGGCCAGGCGCAGGCACCCGGACCGAAGCAACTTGAACTGAACCGCATTAGTCTTGGCCATGTCGGACTTGGTCATGCAGTCGACTGGAAGGAGGGGATGGGGCATCCATCTGTTAACGCTTCCGATTTTCGACATGATGTCACGAACGACCGCTAAGTCTATCGCAGCCTTGCGATCCGAACAGGACCCGTGAGACAACTGACTGAGTGTCGTAGATCCCGTTCGCATCCACGATGCTGAGGCAATCGGCCGAGGCGGAAGAGGTCAGCTCGCAATCCTGACGCAGCAGAGCGGCCAAAGGGCCGATCTGATCTTGCCAAGTTTCCGTCGCGACATTCCCCCTCGTCACATCCTCGTACATCATATGCAGCCACTGCACTTCTGCCGGCGCCCCGGAGAGAGCGAGGGCCTCCCGGGCTAGGGTACTCGCCACATGCATGTTGACACGACACGACCGCCATGCTATGGCAGTGGCTCTGGCGCGCAATCCATGTGCCAGTGCATTGTCAGCCATGTAAACTTGCCAGGCCTGCTGCGGGCACTGACAGTCGTCGGGCCCGACGCCGCCGCAGTCGCTGGCCGTGGCAAGGATGAACCGCTTCGGATCAAAACGGCGGATGACCACCGGCAAAGACGCGGTCGACCGCAGGTGGTCCACCATCTTGTGAGCCTTTAGAAGGTCCCTGATACACGGGGAGTTGACTTTGGTAGCCAGTATGGAGGCCACGCCAGCAGCCTCGGCCCGGGACTCACGACCCACCCAGTTCAGTTTGTAGACCGGACTGCGAAACTCGGCCGCCTCGGAGCCGATGAGAGGACTGCAGTGGTTCCCGCGCCTACCCCAGGACATAGGAACCTTCTTGTAGTTGCTCCGAAATATACTTCCTTGGTCCACGAGAATCCTGGAATTTGCTGAACCCTGCCCTGCTCGTCGAAGTCTGCGACCTATGTACTTAAACCCCATTTCGTCCAGCTTCTCCATCTTTCCGAAATTCGGGGAGGTACTTATGCTCTTGGCCGGGGGGGTAGGCTATTGCCCAATCGTCGACCTCCGACAACACCCGAGAGATCAGGTGATCACCCTTGCGCGAGGCGAACCAGCAGGGTTCGAGCTTGGCCCTAACATAACCCTGACTCTCAAGAAAAACCTAGCGGACGTCTCGTGAAAAAAGCCAGGGGGGCATCGTCCAGGCCGTAGACGGGAGCCACCGACTCAATGAGGGCGCCTGCTGGGAGGTTGAGCCCTCCACAAGGTTCGACAAAGACTCTGCCTCTTGGTCGCCGGAGGGGGTCAGATTGGCAAAACGAGTTTTTGATGTCGCCTATCTGGGCCTCAAGGTCGTACATCAGCGAAATCGCTAAAAAGAGCATTGGCGACTCCATGGGCGGTGTAGGTGCGTGCACCTGGAGCTCCGCGGTATCTTCGTCCTGGTGGCCTCTCACACACCGACGCGATTTGGCCTTGGGCCGATCCCTCGCGCTGCCCTGGGGCTTCCAACGGCGAACCATCCGACTCGAAACCACCCGGCCAGGGAAGAGGGCTCTGAGTTTCTTTCCTTCGACCGGGGAATGCACCTTGACAGACTTCGCCTTAATGATGCCCTTCCATTCCAGAGAGTCAGACGCAGCGAACTCTCGCCGCTCTTGAGCGTCGAGATCCTTGAGTCGGACCTCGCGCCCTCGGTTGGCAAGGAGAGAAAAAGAGAGACCTGGGACGACGGGCCTTCCCCCCTCTTGAATGATCTCCACATCAGCATTTCCGTTGTGATAGCTCCTCCAATCCCCGCTCCACCCCTCGTTCTCTATGGCCGCGTCCAAGTCTTCGAAAAGCGTGCACAGCTGAGCGTCTTCGAGCCCGAGGAGCGTCCACAGCTCCTCGTTTTGCAGCGCGAGGCCGACATCGGCCTCCATCGGCTGGGCCTGACCGGCCACCTCCGAAGCAACGGCTGGAGACCTAGAGCGGTTGCGGACGGGCTGCTGGTCCTCATAATCCTTGATTTGCTCCTGAGCCCTTCCTGGAGGCACTCCCCGGAAGTCTTCCCCCGGACGAGTGGACCACTGGCTAGCCCGACGCATGCCTAAATCCAGGATTTCATTCCGCAGGACAGTCCCATCGATCATAAACCTCAGGCCACTGGGCGCCCTGTCCAATGACGGAGCGCTCGGAGCCTGTCCGGCACTCGAGATGGAAGCGGGAGCAGAGGGAGTGGGCCCTGACGCCTGGGCGGCGGTAGAGTCCTCAGCAGACGCCCGGGCCAGACCAGGAGGGACAGAGATCGAGGCCTTCTTCCGCCCGCCCGGAGCCCTCGACCCTATCTCCGTCGCCCGCCCTGCGGTAGATGTGCGTCCTATCCGCCTCTTCCTCGTCGGTGGGGACCTGCCTGGACCTGGTGACCTGCGACGAGCGATCGCCAATCGTGGACGTCGCCGGCGTATTTCCCGGGCCCCCGGGCCGAGTGGCCTCCGAGGCCACGCTTCCTTCCTCCGGGATCGCCGGAAGGCGGGGAGAAGGAGGCCCGATGGGGCCCAACCACGTTGCCGCTGGCCCCCTCGGCTCGTGGCTGAGGGGCTGGTCCAGGACTGGCGATCGGGGACGGATCCACCTCGACGCTGTGCCCCGGTTCCCACGCTTCACGGGGTGGGGGGCCCTCGGCAGCGACGTTAACCCCAAACCCCGTGCGTCCGACATGGGCCTCTCGAAGGGGGCGTTGAACCCCGGGGTCTGACATAACTTCAGCCCCCCTTGACTCTGGAGTCGTGGCCAGGCTAATCTGTTCCTTGGAGCACTTCCAAAGCCTATTTCGAATCGCCACCCGCGCAGTATTACCGGACTGAACCAGCACCAAACCTGGGCCGCAACGGTCGCGCTGAAGCGCGTAAGTCTTCTTGCTGCTCTGAGAGGGTGCGCGCCGCCACACGAAAACCCACTGGCCGGGGTCAACTCTGGAGTCTCGGTGGACATCGGCCTTCGATGCTTCCGCCAGCTTCCGCCTGCTCGCTGTGCAGAACAGCTCTTGTCGCGCCAGATCCTGGATGGCATGCTGCCGGGCATGGTCGGCAGCGGCCGTGTCCTGGCCCCGGGCCGTTTGCGCAAGATCTCCTTCCTCAACCTGGCGGATCCCGTCGTCTGAGAGGAGGTTCTTAGGGAGACGAGGGGTGCCATGCACGAGCTGAAACGGGCTGTGCCCGCCGCGGTGCAGGTATCGGTTCTTCGCCGACACCACCTCGTGCAAGGGAGTCTCCAACTCCGCCCGGGTAGTGGCCGCCGCGACCAGGATTTCCTGCGCCCGCCCTCCGTGTCTCTCGGCCCTGCTGTTTTCCCATCATGGACTCTCCTAGTCCAACGCGCGGTGGAAAACCCCGAGGTGCTTGAGGCCGCGCTCGAAGTGAGCCTTGAACTCTGGCCCCCCGCCCGAAAGCAACATTTCGGGGGGGGCGAGCGGACGCGCCCAGGCCCTCATGAAGGCCTTTCAGGCCCCCTCCGAGGACCCGTCGAACACCTCCACAATCTGAAGGTTGGTCCCGTGGCACACGCAATTCAAAGCTGGAATGGATTCCCGTTCGAAGGAGAGATAGAAGGTGTCTACAGCTATAACCTTGTTTAACTGGAAAATCCGAGAGATGGCCACGGCCCGGTGTCCGGCCTGTTGGACCTGAGCCTGGCAGTCCGCGCGCTCATGCTCATCTCTCGCGAATCGGACGATCTCCGGACGGGCGTGCGCCGCCCTCAGAACCTTCAGACAGATCTCTTTCCTGGGGTGTCCTAGATTAACGTGCGCTGTATGAATGAGACGCTTGATGGGGGCGTTGATCTCAATCTCATGCTCTCCTCCCGGGGCCCCGGTGGCCTCTCCCCCTTCCGCGCCTCCCTCGCCCTCCGCGCCGTCCGTCGGAGGCTGGGCCTGCCCTGGGCCCTCGCCAGGACCTTCCGGATAGGCCTCTAGCTCTTGCAACCCTGGGAACTCCTGGCATTTTTCAATTTCCTCTAAGGTAAAGTGGTTTCCTTGGTTCTCGATGCTGGCCAGGGCGGATTCGGCGAGCGCCTGACACAACTTGGGGGGGTCGACCTGGGAATTTCTAGTTATGTGTCCTCCCTCCAGCTGGTGGTGTACGTGGCCACCCTTGCACTGGTGTCCTGAAAGCCGGCGAAAGAGGGGAGGATCATTGGTCATGAGACGAATGGCCTTTTTGGAGAGGGTCCCTTCCTTGACGCTCAAACCAAATTCACATGGATCAAGCACAACCTCTCGGACCCCTGGGAGCTTGCGAATCATGTTCACCGCGTGCGTCCTCCAGGAACTGGCTCCTTTCGGATGCTCAAAGGCGAAACGCCTGCCCCCCTGGATCTGGATGAGCGCGATGCGCAGGCAAAAAGAACAGATAGCCAAGAGCCTGCCTCTTCCTCCGGGCTTTTTCCTCTGGGGTTTCTGGGGAGTTCGGTCGAAACAACTCCCTGATCTGACTAAACTCGGCACAATGGGGTTCGGGCATAAACATCCAAAATTTTTCCGTTTTTACCTTCTCGGTGACTCGGCCCTGGTCTTTCCTCCTGTTGAAGTCCCACCCGTTTGTGAGATCGACTCCCAAGAGCGCGCGCGCCGGCTCCCTCTATAACGGGGGACACTCGCGGAGGCGAAAACACCTCCAGGAAGGATCTGGACCGGAGGTCTGACTTGACCTTTCGATCGCTGCGCAGGGCCTGAAGCTGTTTTCTCTTGCTTTCGGTCATGAAAACCTCTCGGTCGTCCTTGCGCGCGCCCCCTGAAATGGTCCTGGCCCAGTGGTCCATGGTGAAGAGGATTTCCCGGGATCTCCACCCAGCCTTGGAAACGCCCCAAGTTCAACGATCGCGTCCAGCACGTGGCGACGACGACCTTCCCCTGGCCTGACCGAAAACTGGAAACCTCTGCTCCCTGACGGCTTCTTGACCCGCAGCTCCTGAAAGGAAGACCCGCTCAGCGCCACTTGCCCTGGCCGTCGTAGGTCCTCCAGCCCGCGCTGTGCCAGTCCTTCTCGTGGTTCGGCGTCTGCGTGGGCACCGTGGGTTGGCCGCCGGTCCACGTGTCGCCCAGGGTCCTCGCCTCCCTCTGCGCTGCCGCATCCGCCGCCTGGAGGCTCGCCGCAGAGCCCTTCGCCTTCCCCTTGCGCTGGTCGTAGGCCGTAGCGAGCGGGTCCGTCGGCGGGATCTCGAAGCTCGATACCGCCTCCATCGAGTCCTGAATAGCTTTCCCCTGCTCGTCGTAGAGCTCCTGCGGGTTCAGCTGCTGCCTCGCGTCCGCCGTCGGATAGGTGGGGTAGCGGCCAAGCGACGGTGCCGCTGAGGGCGCCGGCGCTCCTCCCATCCTGGACGTCTTCTGCTCCTGGATGTCCCTCGCCATCGCCGGCGGGAGCTTGGTCGGGTCGAGCGGCGCCGTCCCGCTGTGCGACCGCGACGCTCCTGCCGGAGTCGGTCCCGCTGCCATCTGAGGCGATGGCTGCGTGCCTGGCCCCATCATTGGCGCTGTAAGTGATGACGTAAGTGGCGCCGCTGGAGCCTTCGGCAGATCCGTCAGCGATGGGCCCGCAAATGCAGCTGCGCCCTGGTCTGCCTTCAACGGCGATAGACCGGCTTTGCCGCTTGCCATGTCCTGCAAGCTCTGGGCCAGGTCGACTTGCTTCCTGAGCCTCCCCGCGGATCGTCGCCAGGGCCCTCATCTGCTCGCTCGCCGTGCTGTTGACCTTCGCCAGCGCCTCGCCCTGGGACTGCTGGTTCGCTGCAACTACTTGCAGCATTGCCATCATATCCTCGAACTGTTTGTCGAACTTCGCTTGCATCTCTTGCTCCATCTTGGCCTGCGTGGCCAGATCGTTCTGGGCCGGGGGCTCCGCCTCCATCTTGTCGCCGTCGTCCTTCGCGACCTTGCGCTTCGCCGACTCGGCGCGACGCTGCGCCGTCTGCTGCGCCGCCGTCTTCACGTCCCTGAGGAAGGTCTCGTCTCTCTGAAGGCCCGATGCTGCGGCCGCCGCCGGGTCCGCCACCGTGGTGTAGCTGCTCGAGCCCTCGATCTTGGAGCGATTCGCATGCGCTCGCATCCCTGGGTGAACAGGTAGAAGGCTCCGGTCCGCTCCTGGTGGAGGTTTCGGCACAAGAATGATCGCTTGCCAAGTGGCCTCTCCTCCATGCTGCGCCCGGCCTTGGCCGCGCAGTAGGCGCGCCGCGTCCTTCTTCTTGCACAGGCACATCCTCTTCTCCTTCGGCGTCCCCTTCATCGACTTCATCTCCACGTGGCTGACCCTCGTCGTGCAGCCGGCGCGTGTGATCCAGCGCCCCCGCGAGTTGGCCCCGGCGCTCGCCAGAGTGGGAGGATGCCAGCACTTGAAGTAGTCCTCCGGGAGCCTGCGCAGCTTCTTCGGCAGGTTGGTTGGCCAGAAGCGTCTCGTGCGCATCATGGCTCCGAACTCCTCTGCCGAACGAGTCGGCCAGAGCAGGGCCCACGACGTGAGAGCTGCCCACCCGCTCTGAGCCTTGTTGAGGCCCTCTGGCACGTAGGAGCCCGTCGCCCCGTAGGCCCAGGCCTGCTCATTTTCCGTCGTCAAACGCTAGGCCATGGTGGTCGGGCGCTCCTCCTTGGCCCGGCGCGACGACATCGCTCTCGGCGGCGTCGTCTGCTGGATGTTGCTCTGGGCGGTAGGTAGTCGCCGAAGTGTTCGGATCTCAAGACGAACTTGGGCCCAAGCGCTGCTGGAAGTTGAAGGATGCTCGAGGTCGCGTCCTCCATCGGTCCTGAGGTGAACGCTGAGCGTTCCTTAGCAGCTTCAGAGACTCGCCGCTCCCTGTTGTCCTGAGGTGCCCCCCCCGCGACTGGGAACCTCGGCTGCTTCATTGCGCCCGCTGGACCAGCCGAAGTGAACGCTGACTATGCTAGCGGCGCCGAGGTAGCGGTGCCCAGAGAGCCCTACGTGCGGCGATAGAATCTGGCATGGGAGACTTCGTCGCATCGCGCGTGAATCTCTGCGCGGAGTGGACAGATGCAGACCCTTAGACGTACCCGTTAGCTGGTACTCCTTACGACCGAGAGGACGGGCAGGGTGGCCCCCGAGGAGAGGAGGGGTCTATCCAGCTGAGAAAGGAAGAGCGGGATGTTTAGGGGTTGACGCTGATGTGGGTCCTGATGACAAAGTACAGCTATCGGAGGGTACCCGAGGGTGGATGGCGGACCTCCAAACCCTCGACCGCCAGCTCCATCTGGAGTGCTTCAGCCGATAGCAGCAAGGGCGCTTATGGAGATCCTCTAAACGCAAGAATGGCCAGCTACGACTTGCTCCAAGCAGCGTGCGCGCCTGTCATCAAGCATTGCTATGTGGGCTGAATAGCAGGACGCAGAGCTCTCCCGCCTCATGTGCTACATCAAAGCGGCACTACGCTACCGCATGGTGTCTCGGGTCGGTCGCGGTCTCGCAGAGGTCTGGTTTAAGCAGTGCGCGGATGCAGACCTGGCCAGTGACATCAAGGCACATCGGAGCGCGAACGCCAATGCCCAGAAGCTGCGGGGGCCTAGCACTCGGGCCCTGCAGAGCTGCAATTCGAAACGTCAGGCCGCCACCTCTCGCAGTGCCCTCGAAGCAGAGATTGTCTCGGCGGATGAGGCAGTTCGCAGAAAGGCATTGCCTGCACTGCCGCTGTGGGAACGTCTGCTTGGAAGATCGCCGAAGGCTGAGTTCGCGCAGGGCAACCAAGCAGTCGCGGAGTCTGCAAGGCCGGAGGATCGCACAAGCTAGTGCGCTTGCCGCGGGCTCACGGAATTGATGCAGGCGCCGTGGCGGAACCATTTGCGCGCGCATTATCGACCTGGCGAATTGTCCGACGCAGGGCCAGGCGGCCGACGTCGGTATGAAGAGGTTTGAACGCCCTCCCTCCTAGGCCAAAGCGATTTACCTGACTCAAGTGGTTGCCCCGACGGTCTGGACTGCAAGCAAATGCGACAATTTCTTGGAGTTTTTATTCGACGGCGAAGACGCCCTATCAAACCCGGGGAGTCCTCAAGTCTCGGCGCGGTCCGAAATCATCTCTTGTGACTGGTGGTGGGATCGCTGGCAAGAAGGCCACGAAAAAGCCAGAGCGTCCCAACGAGGGTAAACCTAACATGGAGGCAAGACCCCGAGTTAGCATGGCCAACGATGGGGAATCGGAGCACGCCGCTACGGGGGTGCACCTTGACAATGTCGAGGGTTCCACTGCCAGTGGCGCCGAGGCGACGCCAGCTGCGGGAGGCCCGAAAATCCGACTATCCCAAGACGCTCTTGTTGGAAATTTGCTGCGGACCGAACAGCAAGCTGGGCCGGCCAGAGAGCATGGTAGATCAGAAGCGCATCGTTGCGCGACTATCTGAAGATCAAGAAATGACCGCGGAGGCTGGTTTAGCACGCGCCGTGGAGAAGGTCAGTGACCACCGCGGTGCCCACATCACGCCGTGGGGCTCTATTCCTTGCGCGGGCGGTTCGCCCTGGCAAAGCGTGAGCAAAGTCATGTGCCGTAGGAGCGGTGCTGAGAAGGCATTGGGCATTGAAGAAACTCAGGGGTCACAAAAAGACCTTCAGACAATTGCTTTGGGCATCGGAAGAGCTTCCGGAGAAGTTGGTAACGCAAAGTAGTGCCGCGTGGTCAGCATGGTCGACTCCCTGTCTATATTGGTGCGATCCGCAAGTGCGTGAGTTCATGGTTGAATACAACATGATCAAGGTAAAGTGCATGGTTGCGCATATGACCTTACCAGTGCGAAGGGGCCATATATGAAAACGCCGTGGAGTATTGCTACACATTCTGCCGCTATAGCTGAGTGTATTGTTCGGACATGTAATGGAATGCGCCATCATGTTGGAGTGCGCGGACGGGGCTGTAAGATCACCGAGGGTTACGCGGACGAGTTTGCCAAGCGAGTACATGTGCTGGTTGCGAGTACCTCTGCTGGCGCTGCTGCCGTCGCCGCCGTTCTCCTCGCGACCCCTCGTTCGTGCGCGCCCGCTGTCGCGTCGGCGCGAGACCGCTCGGGCGTCGGCGCCAGCGCCGCCCGCGCGCCTCCAGGTAGCCCCCGCGATTGCGCGGCTGCTTCCTTGATCCCGCCGCCGCGCGCTCCGCGGCAGCCCGCGCCTGCGCCGACGACCTTCAGAACGCCCAGTGCAGTGCGTGCGGGCCGGCGAGGCTCGCGAGTGACAGGGTTGAGGCGGCGTGTGTCGGTGCTGTGTGCCGAGCGCCCCCAGCGAGGAAGCCGCGCCCCCACGTCGACGAGGTGCCCGCGTGTGTCTCGCATGGCCACCTCCGCGGCATCTGGGGAACTATGCTCGCCCATGAGCATGACAGCCCGAACCTCTTCGGGTGTCGTCCCACTGCAGCTGTCGTCGATGACCCTCAAAAGTGTTGGGAGAAGAATGCGTCGCGTCCATGAAGGAGGTGCGCGACTTGGTCGCCTTGGTCAAAGACATTCTGAGTGGCCCGGAGCGCGAGAAACGCTGCCGAACCAGGTGCCGGACCTCCTGTAAGCGCAGTGCATGAGGAGCAGTTCTACGACCCAGTCCCTGCCGACTTCAAGGAGGCGACGTTGGCGGTCTGGATGTCGTCGCAAGGAGGCGATTTGAAGATAACCAACGACGGGTTGGCGCACAAGGAAAGGTGGGGGGTGGCTGGCGTCGGCACGTTGTTCCGTGGTGCCAGGTGCCCTGCCTGTGCCAAGTCCTTGGCGTCAGCGTAGGGTGTGGGTCAGAAGAAATCCAGGTCGCCAGGGAAATGAATATCCAGCTGCGGCTGCCCAAGCTCACTGACCTGGACCATCCTGGGTTGAACTTGGGAGCCGCTGGCCTGCTCGTGAACGCTGTGCACAAACCCAACTATGCTATGCGGGGGGAAGGAGCTATGCTCCCTGACAAGCTGTGGAGGGCTTTCTGGGTTATAAGTGGCGTCGGGCAACAACCCGTGGATCCCTGGTCTCCACTGCGATGGCGGCATCGGTTATGCCTTCCTTGGACTTCCAGACTAAGAGTGGCAGCTACCCGCAGGCGCAGTGCAGGTGAAGGAGTTCTCGGCCGTCGTGATCGCCCGTTGGAGGGATGACCAAACCGACTGTTACTTCCATGCGCCCAGACCATATATTACCTCCGATCAGCATGCTATGCTTGCTGGTGGGTGGGCTCAAGAGGCCACGGATAGGCTGTGGCGCGAGGTCGGGGCAGATACTCTCGAGGATACCTTCAAGTACCTGTCGAAGCAGAGGCGCGAGAACTACAATATATATATATATATATATATATATATATATATATATACATATATATATGGCGTGAAGTCAATGCGTCAGCGTGTACGGATGAGAATCAGGCCTTGGCACCAACGGTTCCTGTGATGACTTCGTGGTGCCCTTTTCGGTATGCTTCGCTCGATTCCACGCCTGGTCCCAGGTTCCTGGAAGTTGACTCGGAGGATATCGCACATGAGAAGGGGCGGCGCCTGCTGGCGGGCCACGTGCCAACTGCCAGGAGATGACTGTTTGCCGCGGAAAGTCCTTCGATGACCTGATGAGTCACATCCAGCAGTGCCCATCAACGGTGGGCCTCACGGGGGGGGGGAGATCCTGGGGCTCTGCGACTGGAAAGGTTGCATGATACCTTCCCGCATTTCTGCGATGCTGGTGTGCATATGCACGGAGGCATGCAATATTTCGGGGGGGAGACAGTGCCGCGCATTCGAAGTGGATGTGGGTGAAGGACTACATCCCGTAGGACCCAGCTTGGAGCAAGTAGTTGGGGATCCCCGCGAGGCTTGAACGAGGTTTCCCCAAGGTCTCGCGCCCGCCGCCAGCTGGAATTTCAATGGGGGGCAAGTTTCCATGGCTTCCGGCACCGACCAGGAGGTCGTCCGGCGGCTATGCTGGCGGCGGCCCACCGAAGGGGGCTCCGACGCCGTGGCCAGCAGCGGGGTCAGTTGCGGCCCCGCCCCGAAAGCTGTATACCATGACCCGAGGAACCCTGGGGGTGGGTTCGGCGGGAGGGCGCAGATGGGCGCGCTCGGGCAGCGGAGGGGAGAGGCCGTCCTTGTCGAGGGGCCCTCCCGCTGGAGACGCCACGCCGGCGCCCCCTCCGCCCGAGGCGAAGGCCGGCCGTGAGTCGCCCGAGCAGGCCGCCGCCTCCGGCAGCGTCGCCGAGGGGGGCGGAGAGGAGGCCGCCGCCTCCGCCGCCAGGGTATCCTCCACGCAAGGCTGCCCCAATAACCTCGGGCACGCCGAACATGAACGCGAACGAGCCGTCCACTGCGTCTCGCGACAGCGCGACGGCGGATGGGCCGTCAAACATGTCCCGCGACAGCGCCACGGCGCACCAAAGCGCGACAGCAGCGTCCACGACGCCGACTATGTCGTCGCAACCTCCTTTGCCGAAGGGGGCGACGCCGACTATGTCGGGGAAACCGCCGAGGCGTGCGGCTCCGCCTCCGCCGGCAGGGCAGCCGCTGGCGCCCGCAGGTCCGCCGCCCCCGGCAGGAACGCCGCTGGCAGCCGAGGCTCCTCCGCCCCCGGCAGCGCCGCCGCCGACGGCAACGCCTCCGCCGCCACGGGCAGCGCCACCGCCGACGGAGACGCCGCCGCCGCCACGGGCCGCGCCACCGCCAACGGCGACACCTCCGCCGCCGCTGGCTGGGGCGCAGCCAACGGGAACGCCCTTGCCGCGCTGGGCTGGGCCACCTCCGATGGCAATGCCCCGACCGCCACCGGCTGGGCCGCCGCAGGCAGGGGCG